CGCTGGCCGGCCCGGGCGGGGGCACGGCGCGGCCCGCAGGACCTGGCCCTGCCGTGCAGGCGAGGGGAAGGGCTGGGGAGCATGCAGCGGCCTCCCCCGGGCCTCTCCGCAGGCCCCGTGCAGCAGGAGGCCGGCGCGGCACTAACCAGGATGGAGATCCAGGCACGGCGTCGGGTCTTCATTCTCACCCAGCTGGCCGCCGGGGCTGAGGCTTTCCATGGACAGGTCCAGGCCCTTGTCCTCCCAGTCCCGCAGCTTCCTCTTTTTATTCGTCCCAATCAAGGCTTCCACCGAGAAGGCGTGCGCTCGGGAGCTGAGGGCCACTGCCGACCTTCTCCGCTCGCTCATCTTACCCGCAGCGCAGCCCTCCGCCGGGCGAGCAAGCAGCGGCAGAGCGGCTCGCCCTCTCCCCCAGCCCGCGCCGGGAAGGAGCTACATGGGGCGCGCCGCGGTGGGAGCTGTGCGGGGCACGGGCTCAGAGGGGCCCAGGCTGCAGTGCATCTTTTCCCCTCCCCTTTCCTCCTCTCTCTCTCTGATGGATCCAAACTTCTGGGAAATTCCCCCCCCCCCCCCCCGGGTTAGGCAGGGTGCGTGGGCCTGTCGAGGGGGGGGGGGGGAGGGCCGGGGGCCAAAGGGGGGGGGGGGGGAAGCAGCTGTGGCCAATGGGAGGCCGGGAAGGAGAAAGACCCAAAACCCAATGAGCAGGGGAGGGAGCTGAGCGCGGCCAGTCGGGCCTCGGAGTACCGGACTGGGTTAACTCTTTGAAGAACGGAGGATCCTAGGAAATGTGCGCCCATAAGGACAGAGGGGAGCAGCTCCCACATTTGGCCAGTCTCCGCGCCCGCCTTTGCTGCGGACTGTCGGTCACTAAGCACCAAACGCTGCATTTGAAAGGGCTTGAAAATCTGGGATCGAAAAGTGGGGAATGGTGCGGGTTAGAAAACCCAGCGCGTGCCACGTTAATGCCCTGGCTGCTGCCGGCCGGGACAGCGGCGTCCCGCTTGAAAAGGTCCTCGCTGCGTCTCGCAAGCGTTACCCCGCCTGGCCAGTCTTTGCTCAACCCCCTTCGGAACAATCGGGCTGCAAGGTCTGAATGTGACATTTTGCGGGAGTTCAAATATATTTATAAAGTCTCCCGTATTTCGAAGATTTTTCATTTGCTTTTGCAAGCGCAGCATCGTTTTAGCCTCGGAGAGAAAACCCGCTGAATGTCAGGTTTAGCTCAGGCAGATGCCTGGAAATTCATTCAAACACTGCACGCGAGGCGGGTGTTCACAGAGCAGCTATTTGAGATTCATCTCGTCTGCAGACACGTACAAATGCACGTAAAAGAGTTTAACCGTAGGAAGTCTTGTCCTTGTTCTTCTTCCTACGAACTCGCTGCTCAGCTAATGCCGCAGGATGCTGCTGTGCGCGTTCGTGTAGAGCGTGGCCGTGCCCCCCGTGCACAGTGCACCCGTGGCCACCCGTGTGCAGCGCAGCCCTACACGGACGGCCGCACTTAGACAATATGTATGCACCGGTCGTTTGGGCAGCAAGTTCGTAGTAAGAAAAGGAAAAAAAAGAACCTAACTTCTCAAGGTCAAACTCCTTCTACACATTCCCTAGTTCATCTGAATAAAAATAATATCGCGAATGGTGCAGAGGTGCCTAGGACAGAAGGTAGGAGGTCATGGTTGGCCAAACGAAACACAAACTGCTATGCGGTTTTACTTTATTTTATTTGAATGGAGAAGAAAGAACTGGAACAGAACAGCGGACAGGAAGCGTTCAGAAAAACGCAAGCCTACAGGCAAAGCAATAAGTGGATCTGCAGCACTGAATAAATGAGGAGAAACTAAGAGAAAGTGGAATCACTCTTCCGGACTCGGTGCGGGGTTTTCTTTTCTCGAAACTTCTCCGAAAAAATCCTGAAATGGCGGCCCTCGGCGGCTCTCAGACAATGAGCGCGGAGCGTCTGGTCGTGGTTAGGAGAGTTTTAAATAGAGGGGGGCTCGGGCACAAGCAAGGGTTTGGAAGCGGTGTCACGAGCTAGAGGGACACACGCAGATGCCCGGCGTCTCGGGAGACGAATAGATTTCTTCCCGGTCCCTTTTCCTGGCCTAGGTGACGGGCTGTCTGCCTGACAATGCTTTGGGGTGGCTAAATCTACCAACCTGTCGAGCACTTACGAGGTGGGGGGCGGGGGGGGGCGGCTCCCCTAGCTGGAGAGCGGGTGAGCGGGACCCGCTTAATCCCCCAGGAGCACCCCGTCTATCCCGCCGTGGTTAGGTTGCTTCCAGGGAGCACACGGGCAGACAGCTTGCTCAGGGCTGGCGTTTCCCGCATCCTGCCTAGCTTGGGGATCAGTCCGCTCTGGGAAGTCTGGCTCCAAGGACCCCGGACGGCGGGTGGATTTTAGGAAACTCATTTTTGTTTTTTAATCACCTGCATCGATACGATTGGGAGGAACACGCCTATATCCACAGGGCTGTTTGACACTGTTCCCAGGGACTTTGAACCTGATGGAAAAGAAATTCCTTGGGGAAAAAAGCAAACGATATCCTGTGACCTGAAAGTCCCGGTAACATTCCCCTGCACTGCAGAGACGCCCAAGCAGGTTTCACAGGCGTAGGCGAGTAAGTAGGTAGATTGGCGGAAAAGATCCCCTTAAACGCAAGCTATTTGGTGACATTTCGCAGGAGCAAACTGCACTCGAAACGCGGGACGCTTTAAACAAGGTGGGGACTTATGTGAAATCTGCAATCCGTTTCTCACACTACAGAAGTCTAGTTTCCGCGGTCTGCCCGCTCTCGTTCTCCTGTCGGTTCCTCTGTCTTGTTTTAGTTTTCTTCCTTGGATGGGCTGGAAGGGCCTTAATACGGGAGCGATTTCAAACTGACAAAACCGCCAGCAAAACTACAGCCGGCCCCAGACTCGGCCGCGCAGAGACCGGCCAAGCTCGCAAGCGAGCGGGACTGAGCGGGACTCCGCGCCCCACGCATCCCGGCCGCGCCCGGCGGGGCAGTCCGGGGGCCGTGTCTCAGCCCCGCTACTCCGGTGTCGTCGGGACCCGCAGACTGAACACATGGCGCCCGCCCCCCGCTCCACCGACTCCCCGACGCTTGACAAAAGCGGCGATCCGCTAGCCCGCCCCGATCGCTGCTTCTCGCCGACTCGCAGCAAAGGCCGCAGAGAGAGAAGCCGAGCGGCGCCGCTGCCCCCAGCACCGCCCGGGCGCAGGTACCGGCGGTGCGGGCGCGCGCGTTGCTGAACTAGCGCTGCCACCCTCCCGGGCACTTCCCCGCGCGGCCCTAGGCGCTACCCGTGGGAGCCCCGGGGACCAGCAGCCGCCGCCAAAGCAGATCCCGCCCGTGTCTGAGCCGCGCGGCCCGACTTGGCGGGCGG